TCCATCCATCCATCCATCCATCCTCCGGCTCCAGCTCCTCCAGGTGATTCCCAGGTCATTTGTGGGTTTTCTCCAGGTACTCAAGCTTCCTTCAGCAGCCCAAAACCATAAGTGTTGGGGATCTCTAACTGTGGATGTTTGTGTCTCTATTGCCCTGTAGTGAACTGATGACCTGTCCAGGGTGTATCCTGCCTCTCGCCCAATGAGGAGGCAGACACCACTTTGCAAGCATTTCCATTACTGGTTTTCTGCTGGCTTTTTGAGCAGGGCTGAAGTTCGATGTGAACTGTTTTAAAACACCAGTGTTGTATGTTAAAAATACAGTGTTAATTAAACACTTGTTTAGTCAAATTCAAAGATAGGTTTGTCAGTGTTGGGTTCCAGGATGTGGGGATTAGTTTGGCTTCCTTTTCAGTTCTTCGGCAGTCCACCAGAGGGAGCCATTGGGATCACTCTGCTGGAGAGGGCGTGCCTGCAGGCTCAACTACCACACCTGAGGGGAATTATCCAGAGGAGTATATAAGCAGCAAACAGCCAACACTTCCTTGCCAGAGTGTTTGCCAGTTTTGGTATTCTAGCTCCTCAGTGTGTTTAATCTAGAGACATCTTGTTTTTTGACCTGAGTTTGTTCAGGCTCTCACTCTGTTTCTTGTGGCTCTTCCTCAGGACTCCTTTGAGGCCTTTGGAGTCTGTTTCCTCAAGTCCACCAGTCCTGAAGAAACCTTTTGTGACGCCTTGCTGCTCCTCCGTGGTGACAAATCTGACCTGCCCACCCTCCAACGTCGGGTTAATCTCCAGCCAGCCAGCAACACCTTTCCCCCACATCTGGAACCACCTTCCTCTGCCCATCATCCTCCACTTGCTTTTCAAGTAAGAACAGAGCTCACGACCATTCGTTGACTCCCTTCTGATCCCCTGTGAAACCATTAACCTCTCTCTTCCCTTGTGTGCAGACGCACCCGGACTCCGACCCGCTGACCCCCCTAGCCATGCTTCTTTGTTTGATTTTGCAATAAACATCTTTTACTTCCATCTCTCTGTGTGTTTCTGCATGTGGGCAAAAAACATTAGACCCATTATGACAGTCAGTTTCCCTAAAGAGATGGTGTTTGATAAAGAGTTGCTCCCACAATCGCAACGTATCTGTGACGTCATGTGTTTGCCGGGGAGACAGCAGTATGGCGTCTTGTCTGGAGCTTATCATAACAAGGTAAGTTCCCCAAAGCTATTAAAACATGCTCTTTATGTTGTCTTTAATGTATTTATGTAATGGTGATGTTTGTAACTCCCTGGGGGACATTATACCACAATGTATGCTGTGTTTATACTGTTATGTATTCTGTATCTCAAAGATCTATTTAAAAAAAAGGTAAGTTTTATGTTAAGATCGTTTTTCATCACATGGTGCATTACATGCGTCACGGACAAACGTTAGATTAGGTAAAATTTAAAACTTCAACACAAGTCCATGCCTCCAGGAAGCAATTGTTTCTCAACAGCCGGAAGCCTAAAATGCTATAACATCACATACAGGATATCTTTCTAACGTCTCAAGAACTGTGCCAATGCACATTTCCTTAACCCCTGACCCAGAAACAAACAGCACCTCTTTTTAACGGATTTTGGGCCCCATAAGGTGAAGTTGGTCCTCACAACGTAGCATTTGACAGAAAAATGGGCCTCCAAGTGAGAAATGCTAAATGCACACACAGATGGTGTCCTTTTCTCAGTGACTGACGGCAGTAACTGCATGGTTTTCTGTGATGGTGACAAAAATGGGGGATGGGGGATCATAGAATCAACCTCCAGGTTTTAAAACTTTGAGCTCCTCCACATACAGAAAAAGACCGACTAACCCTACCCATCATCTCCTCCATGTCCAATCACTGTCCCTGCATGAATTTCAACTCCTACCTCTTCACTCATCCTCTCATTCCTCTCTCTGCCTGCCTCTCCTGCAATGCTGCCATCCCCTGACAAAAGCCTTGAGTGGATGCCAGTCCCCCTGCTCTCAGTGCCGGCTGACTTCCTGCTAAAAATAAAAGCCAAAAGAAGAATTGCACCAAGTGAGAGGGAGTAGAATGGGGAAGGACTGGACTGGGAGGAAGCTAGCTGGAAAATGTGAGGGAGAAAGAGGAATGGGAAAATAGAAAATCTACAGAAAATTAAAAATGAAGGAGGTAGAGACAGGAGAATGAAAAGGAGAGACAATGGGAGGAAAAGAGAAAAGCCAATGAAAGTAAGGAGAAGGTAAAAAAAAAAGTTTAGGAGCAGAATCATTTGTGAGCGGGATTAAGGGTCAGACCACAGCTGATCACACTCTGAATCTGTTCTGCGCAGGAAGCAGCAGGAGTCACATTCATCAGTGAAAAGGCAGCGAACAGAGTCGCATCATAAATATTTATATGGGAGGAGGAAGATGGCAGAGTTGCAGGGGAGGAGGAAATAATAGGAAAGGAGAGAGAGATGAGTGGAACTTCAGAGGTGGCAGCAGGTGCTTTTGGCTCACTTTACCTTCTTATCCCCATCTCTCCCATTGGCTGGCCCGCTGCTGGAGCACAGCAACTCACCAAGCAACTCGAACTCCCTGCAGCTCTTATATACATGAGTGGGTAAACAGGGGAAGGACAGGACGACCCCCCCCCCTCCTTCCTCAGAGAGCGAGATGAACACACAGAGGCTCACAAACTCTCACATAACAGACCTGGAAAAGTTTTTGAGGCAGCAATAATTATGATCAAACTGCTGCTGTTTCATTTTCCAGTTTGTAACTCAGTTTTGTACAAAGACTCTTCATTTCTGACATCTGATAAACTTCCAGCAGCTGTTAACTCAATGGAGATGAGATGCTTCTAGGTAGAGGACAACAGAGCAGAAAGTTGAAATGGAATTAAAATCAAAGCTTTGATGCATTCTCTCAAAACTACAAAAAAATTCACAAAATATTTAGAGACGACAAACTCCTATTAGAAATGTTAAGGCATTCATAAAACTGGGATCCTCCTGCTCTTTACACATTTTCTATATTATTGCACATGACATCTTTAATTGTCTTTCTTGGTTCACCATTGAAATATTGGCCAGAGCTAAAAACTGTTGATCCTGTTTGAACTGCCACCTGACTGCTTGGGACCCTTGGCACACTCTTCTCTTGCTACATGTTGGCTAAACTGGTCAGCTGGATTTAATTACTTATTGAAATATGTTTACATTTTGTAAAACAATGCAACACAGATTCAACTGTAAATCCACTGAAGTGAAATTAATTCCAACTAGGCAAAATCAAATGAAATCTGCCTTAATCAAACTCATCCTTAAAAGCCTAAAGTTCATCTGACAGTCGTGCCCATGATCGACATGGGCTAAAATCTGACCTGAAGGATCACATTTCAGCCAATAATGATACACTCAACAAACTGAGCATTTTGTAAACCTTTTTGTTAGTTTTCACTGTTAACTGAAGCCATTTCAGTTCAGTCAGTGAACATCTGAGAGGTTTGGATGCAACAAAGGGTTTATTTTCTGTTTAAATGTTTAGAAAATAAATCAGAAATTCTGCCCTGAATCTAAAAATTCTCTGAGCGTACTTGGATGTCCTTGAGCTTATAACAGAATAAATAAAATCAGATAAGAGCTGAACTTACAAAATACACAAGAAACTACATCATGCTGAGAAAATGCATTGAAATAAACTGATTTTTTTTAACTTCCAAAGTTTTAAAAGGTGCTGTATGTGATCTGTACTTAAACTACCCATGATAATCCTAGTGGTGAAATTCACACCTGAGCCACAGTAATGCTAGAGCCGAGTCTTTACTAACCTAGCCAGTCATTGAACTTTTTGACCTCAGAGGGCAGCCCGAGCTCGGTGAAGTCTCCAGCATGAATGAACACGTCTCCGTACGGCATCTGGATGGCGTCTGTGCGTGAATGAGTGTCTGAAATACACACGAAGCGTGTGTAACCTGGAGGTTTGGGAGTGTCGTGGGGCATCGGGTCCACCCTGAGAAAGAAGAGATGAGCAAAGTCAGGTTGAGTTTGAGGGCCATGATAAAAGTGTCACTGCATGTGTAAAGTGTGCAGGTAAATAACGGTTTTGCAAAAGTTCTGCAGTAGCAGGCTGACGGGAAAAGAAGTTTAAATTAGTATCCAACCAAAAGAGAAAAAAAACATCCCCACAGAATGAGGAAGCAGGAGATTTGGGAAGAGGTGGGAACGAGAGGCCACAATAAAAGCACAGTACAGAGACACACTGAAGAAAATGTACAAAAATAGAAAAAGAATAAAGTACAGATATAGAAAAGTGTAGTCCTGTGGGATTTTCAGTGAGCTTGTGCATTCATGTGGTCTCCGGAGAACCAGGGAGTTGGTGAATAACCATGGCCCACTTTAGGAAGTTTCCTCCAGGTACTGTTCCACACAGCCCTTTCTCCTCCACACTGCCGTCACACCACCCTAAGCCCCCATCACCACCACCCACCATCCAACTTCTAGAATGTAAGAAGCAGGATGTTGGTGAAAAGCAGATATCCTACATGAATCTCAGACAGTCATGACAAGTAAAGTAAACTAAGCGCAGTAATAAAATGCTAAAGTTCACTTTAACATTTGCATTCCTCTCACATGCTAATGAACACAGGCCTCAACTAGCAGAATTACTTTCTCACATCAAATATATATTTTTTTATTCTGTCTGTAATTAGTTTCATTACACAGACACTGGCAGATGCTCCAAGGGTTGCTTCAGACTCTATTAACTATTTTAGATAATTTCTTAGCCTGCAGTAACTTTTATAAAAAATATGTCTTTTAGATATTTGTTTAAACCACCATGTCCTGACAGCATAGAATGAGTCAGAAAGACACAAGCTACTCCGTCTCCTCTCTCTGGTTCTACCGCCTTCTACAGAAACCCAGTCAGAAACAACCAATCAGAGTCAGGAGGAGGGCCTTAGCACCGTCAAGAGAGGACGAGTTGGCTGCTGGATGGGTCTCCTGAACTGTAACTAGTGCATCCCTACAACACAAAGGTGTAGGAGTTATCCAAAATGTCTTTATAAGCATAAACATTAAAAGTTCTTTTTACTGTAATAAATGGTCTGCCTCCTGCAGTAACCCTATACAAACCATACTCACTCACTCAGCCCAGCACCTTTTTGCTGCTAAAGTCCAAACCCTGACTTCTCTACATGACATGCATCCACAGCTCCAGAGTCCAGTGATGGACAGAGAGCACTCGGTGATGTAAGGCTTGGAAATGACTCAGCAGTGGAAATCCATTCCATGAAGCTCTCTGCTGGTTTTTATCTATGTGAAGACTACAAGAAACTTGGAGGACTGTAGCTACAGAAACTTGTTATTCTCTGATTGCTCTGTCATGTTCTGAGGCCTAACACTGCATGGCACAGTTGATGTTGTTACCAATCACTTCCACTTCATCATAATACCACTAACAGCTAACTGTGGAATATTTGGAAACTCATTGCAGTGATATCTTGTCTTGGTGGCCAACATGGCCGCAGCTTTTCTTCTCCAGTTTACTCACATGTGGACATGCGGTGGCTGGAAGCGGCCCTGGTTGATGTTGTAGAAGGTGAAGGCCTGTGTGGGGTTGGTGCTGTACTCATCAACCTCCACAGCCGCCCTGCTGCCTCTCTGAGTGTGTGACTGGGCCTGGGACTGCTGCCGCCTTGCCGCCATGATTTCCGACAGAGTGAAGGCCATGGCTGTCTGTGGTGTCGGCTGTTTGGTGCTTTTGGTTCTGGACAGCGAGCAGACTGGACGGGCCAGAGGGGAGACTCCTGTCCTCAAACACACGCAGAGCTCACTGTGGCTGTGATCTGTGGTGGGAACATGGCCTCCTCTTCCTCTGCTTACTTGCAGCTCCTCAGCACCTAAAGGGATTACAAAGAACAGAATTCACAGAGCTTTGGATAGCTGGGATCTGTAGCTAAACACTTACATGAGAGGGTATTTCCCAAAACACAAACACATTTCTGGGACAAACTGGAGTTTTTGTTGTTTTAAAATAACTATTTAGTAATGGTTGTTACACGAATTATGCCAAATTCTTGGGCCACTCCTTCAGCCCTGAACGTCTGCCTTCATCATCATATGAGTTACAACATGTAATTCCCCTTTGGGATCAATAAAGTATTTTTTAATTTGAATTTAATTCAGAATGGATGGGATAAATGTGAACCAAATGTGGACCCAAACATATTTTATACAAACCCTGCTTACCGATGAATAACAGTGACTTTTTATTCTAAGAACTATGACCATAATTTTGCCCCTTAGTCTCTTGAGGTGCGGTTTGTCTGTGCAGTATTATACAAGGAGTATCTTCTACCCTTCTGTGGTAGAAGGCACACTTTGTCCGAGCAACTCAATTCAATTCAAGTCAAAAATAATTTCATAATAAAATGTTGTTGTAATTCATATCATCCAGTTATCTTCAGTCATTGTGGATGGTGATGCTGTGAGCAGGAAGGATCTCCAGTAGCAGTCAGTGTTACAACCAAGGCTGCTGCTGTATGACAGTTTCATCATTGTCACAACATGCTAATAGCTTAATATCTGAGCAGCAGACGTGATATTTTATGACAATGTCCTTCTTACTCCTGTTTATCAAGAACTGCTAATCCGCCTCCCCTTTAAATCTCTGTCTGGCTGTTTGGTTAGAAAGACTGACTGGTCCATCATGATGGATGGAAGAGACGGTTTGAAGATTTGGGGTCAGAGGTCATGTGCTAAGTTGTTGAGATACAAATCAGAAGCTCCCAGTTGTAAAGCAATACCTTGTTTTCTTGGTTATGCAACATAACTGTTCAAAAGTAAATTAAACAAAGTAAGAGCAAAACATAATAGAATAGAATAGAATAGAATAGAATAGAATAGAATAGAATAGAATGCTTCATTTAGTTGTGCAGAAGCACAACACAATTTCATTTCAGAGCCCATCCAAAGGGAGACAGGTGCCTGGGGCTGCAGCCATGGAGGCGCTGCTCATCCTTCCAGTTGCACAGCATCCAAAAGCAAAGTGAAGAACTGTCCAAACATGCAATGAATCAACCAAAGCAACCATGAAAAGTCAACAAACAGAACAAATCAGAACCAACACAAAAGAGTCACTTAAGAAAAGAGGCAGAACAGGAGGTGATCCTGGTATCTGCTTCTTCTTTTTAGAGCACGACAGAAAACTAGCTCTGCATGTTTAACAGGGGGCGACTTGTTCTACAACCAGAATGATTAACTTTTTGCAAATTACCTCAGTGTACTGATTACATGTTTAAAAAGATTAATGAAGTTCCTCTTATTCCTAAACAGTTAATGAAGAACACACAAAATATCTTCATATTGCATCATTTGACTCCATTATTTTGCCAATGATTCCCGTAAGCTGACTGAGAACACCCTTACTGCTAAACAAGTCGGCCCTCTGCAGACATGTTAATGTAAAGTTTAGTGAAAGGAAAAGCTGTGGTTTATTAACCATACCCTCAACAAGACGTAATCACAGCCTTGACAGGATTGTAAAGTAAAGCACAAGGTGAGTGGTTTATGACATTCCCAGTATACCCAGTACGACTCGGGTGAGTTGTGTGCCAATTATCCTCCTGGCCGTCCAAACACACACATTCTTCAGACGCAAAAAGAAGAGGGACAACTTTGAAAGGTGCCACATGTTCTGCTTGGATATATGACTGTTATTTGCTATAGCTTCACATCATGTTATAATGTTATTCCCTCATCGAAACACATCTGGAATTTTGCCTTGATTCTTTCATGCATGTTTGAGAAATCCTTTAATCTCCAGTGATATTTTGAAGTCTTTCCTCAACAACAAAAAGCAAAGGAATGCTCACTCAGAGAGGCACAAGAAGCCTTTTATTTTTGAATTCCCGAGTTCCTTGAATCACCTTAGAATCGTACCTTCTAATTCCCAGTTCTGGCTTTTTATACTAATTTCTAATGTAAATTTATATCTGATTTAAAATAACATTTTATTTCTACATGCTTATTTTTCTGTATGAAAATAAACTTTTGAATAGAAGAGTTTCCATGATATTTGCAAAACAACATATGATGTCCAGCTACTGGAAAAAATACAGTAAAATGTATTATGTTCATCTCAGCAATATGTTTTTTGGAAACGTCAACAAGAACAGAAGTTGTTGGTTACATCTGCTGTTTTTGCAGTGAAGTTAGTCGCAGTTTCAAGTGATCTGATCACCTTTTTGTCTTCTAAACATTTTTAAGCTCTTATGAACGACCAGCTCCACCATCTTATGCTGAGCAGCACTCAGCATAAGCACAGACAATCTGAATGTTTAAATGTTTATTCAACAGTTCTTTGAAGTTGTTGCAATTGTTTGCAACATGCATATTGTGTAGAATGAATCTGCCATAACAATAAATTTGCAATACATTGTGCAGCCCTGGCAGCTGTGAACATTGACAAGCTGCCATAAAAAAGTGATTCATTCCATATGACATGCAGACATGATGAATAATACCTTTGCAGATTCCTTGACTGTTCTGATCCCTCAGAGTTTTTTTGTTTTCTTTTTTTCTTGTTTTGCACCTGTGAGCTGTCTCCATTGTTACTGTTCCAGTCTGTATTTGTCAGGTTTTCAGTTTAGCATTCTTTTCTAATATTCTGCTTTCTTTGTAATCTCATCACATCAAACTTTATCAGCACCACTTTTCTTCAGAGTTCTTGTGTTTGAAGCAAGTCCACTGATTTCCTACTAACTCTACTGGAGCTCTGTGTTTGAACTGACCATTCATCCATCTGAAAACCCTGCTCCCCTTCTGAATTACTATTCAGAATCTTATTTGTCTTGATTAGTCAGTTCATTGAAAGATTGTATGCTTCCCATTAGTATTAATAATGTTATCAGTAGTAGTATGTTTGTTAAGTTGAAAATATGTAATATCAGCTTTCAGTGTTATTCTGATATTACTGTAAAGTATAAAACTAAATTGAGCGGATTTTGCTGCTGTCTTCCATTACAGTGTACATGTAGAAAAATAAAAAATAAAAGGTTTAACAGCAGCTACATTTTCAGGCACTCAGAAAGCACAGCCTTCCATATTTTCACCCGACCAACTGACTAAAAAATAAATCTAGCAATTTGTTCAGCTCTCAAATGATTTCATATTTACAGATGTTTTAATCAATGCTTTCACATTTTGCTAAGATGTTATGAATTTGCAGCAACATTTAGTTCCTGTGAATACAGCTTTTGACAAGCTATAGAGCCTGAAGAGGATTTGGTAGATTTCGCTGCCTGTCCCTGGTGTTAGGCCCGTCTACGTGCATCTCATCTATTAAGACACGGATTCAATCCTGAAGCTCATTTTTCACCGGCTGCTGGAAGCAGAGCGCAGCTACTGAGAGGTGCTGAATGATGGCAACAGTGTAGAAGGAGGCGATAATTTGGGGACAGGCGGCTTGGCGGAGTCCACCTGGACCGCCGCGCGATGTCGGCGTGCCATCTCGATTCATCATTCACTGCAACCTCACACACTGACAGCCCACTGATGAGACAGAAACACACTTCACACTTCACACTGCGGTTGTTTGTCACAGGCGAATCCCAGCATGGCTGGTGGATGTGTTTCAGGGTGTGTGTGCATTCTGTACACAGCGGATGAGCATGAAGGCCTGTGCATGCATATTTAAAAGTGTTTCTGTTGTCATGAATGTGACAGTGACAGTCCCTCACACTGTTAGTGTCAGACAGAGAAATGCATTAGCAGATGCTGAGTGTCTAACACTCTGGGCTCAGATGCAGCTGTCTTGATCACGTACGTGACTCAGAACAACTGAATCTTGGTTTTACAGACTCCCGTGTCGACTCTCCTCCCAGGTTTAAGTCTTTTTGAAAATCAGTTTTGGACTCAAACATAACACCATCTGTATAATTAAATAATGGAAGTATATTGTCTTCTTTATGCATACTGGAATCTTACTATTCTTTGCTGAATGTTTTCACCTTATTGCAGGTTGATGTTCTAGAAAGCAGAGATTTTCCTCTATGTCTCTTATAATTTAATCCTGTTTGATGCCTGTTAGAATGACTTGAATTATTCCATATCTCTAATAAAAGGAAGAAAAAACATCTGATGAAATTAAAGACATCAGTATGTTGTGTTCTGTAGGCCTGCCACAATAACAAGTTCATAAATGATCCCAGAAGCTTTCAATTCTAATGAAGGTTTTACACTGGAACTGGGAGAGATTTTAAATACCCAAAATAAAAAGACAAAACAACGAAAACAACAAATAAAATAAATAATGAAATCTCTGTAAACAAGACTGTTCTTCAAACAAGGGACTAGTTAAGACAAAAGCACCAGACTGAAGACTTTTATCATCCAGTTTTTGGTAGAAAAAGAGAAAAGAGAAAAACTATAAATTATGAAAATAAAGATTACTGAGTTTTAATTGATCACATAAATGATTTATTGTTTATTCCAACAGACCTAGTTCTGTGGTTCCATTGTTTACCTTGTTTTTACTGTAATTATTTATTTGTTTTTTTGTTGGTTTTTTTTGTTGTTATCATCTCCTGGATGAGTGGAAATAATTCTAGTCCCAATACTATTACTATGTATCAGAGTGACCTTTTGGCATCTAGTTCTAATTTATGAGAGTGAATAAAAATGATTCAAAGCCCTTAATCTGCTTCCTGTTTTTGTTTTAAAGCCATAAACCTTAAAGCATTTTACTGAGATATTAAGTGACAGACCAACACAAAGAGGGAGATGCACATGTGGTATACACACAGGTGGACTCTACCTCTTTATTAGGTGATTTCTGGAGGCAACTGATTTTATTTAGTGATGTTACAGTAAAGGAACTGAACACAGTGCAGATCAAAAT